GTTTAAGCTTCAAACTTCTGACAAAGAGTTGTCAAGTCTGAAGACGATTGCAAAGTCGGAGCTTATTAAAGTAAGCTAATATATTAAAGTAGCTATCGAATCAGCCGAGCTTGTGAATTACTTGTTGGCTACTTGCATGTATAACGAACATCCAGCCCAAGCAAGCCGCGCTTAAAATTTGGTTAATAAACTTAAAATTTTACGTGAATTATAGGTGTTGTTCATAAATAATTTTCCAGGTACGCCTCGAATTACTCAATGATTTTCGTTTACAAAAGATCGGCTTTGTTTCGTATAACCCTTTATGAGCTTTCCCAGCGTATTGTCTGGTATATATATTTATTTTTTTGGCTTGAGAATGCGCAACGACTTGGCTCTTTAGTCGTTTGGCCCAAAGCTATTTATAAACTGTATTTATTGGTTCGTCATTTGATAGTTTTTTATTTTTGCTGTTACTATGTTAAATTCATAAGCAGACGACCGCTTGATATTTTCAGTTAACGCCGCGCCAGCAGCTTAGCCATTTACCAAATGAAGTTGCCAAAAGCAAACAATAACAAAAGGGGGAAAAAATAACCTAACTCAAGCAAATAAAGCGCCTCTTTATATATTTTAATAGTTGTCTTTTTATTGTTATTATAATCGGCTGGCAGGTCGAACGTCACGTAATCGCCATCACTGGTTACACCTGTTTTTCGTCGCGCTGATCGCTGTAACATCGTGTAATGATATGCCACCAGCGCGCAAACACAACGCCCGTACAGTTAGATGTTTCCTCTTGGCAAAAGTTCATCAAACGCAAAGGCATGCAACAGCAGCAGGGGGCACAGTCGACAACTGCAACTGAAACTGCAAGTACGAGTTGGTGTCCAACTACTTATTATTTGCAAGGCTTTTGATGTTTGGCTAGCCGACTGATAAGTGCCAATACTCGTACAGGCCAGGCCAAAAAACTAATAACATTTGATTTCTTTTGCTTTTACCACGAACCGAATAGCCACAGCAGCAGCAACAACAACTGCAATCCTGAGAGTGCAACGAAATCTTTAAAATATCACCAATTAAAAACTCACTTCAGTGAAAGTCTTTTCGCACATGAATTTTGCGTAGGAAATTTCGTAATAAATTGCACATTAAAACACCAAAAAACTGTTCAATATTCACACACTTTATATGTTCGTGTGTGCGTGCGTGTATATGCTAATTTAAATGCGTTACGGCTAGGGAAAACAACAAAAACGACAGCCACGGCAGCCATGCGACAAATTGCCATCAATTCGTGCGTTTGTTGACTCTTCGGCTTCATTTGCATACGTGAGCCACTTCTCTCTGAGCCAGTTTTTTACCGATTAGCCCAAAGCAAAGATGACGCTTGGAAAGCAAGTGAGACTGCTGTAGTCGGGTACGCCCGACTAGCAAATACCCTGAACCCAGCACGCATCTGCAGTTACTCATCTTCTAATTTCCCCGTACGAGTTCTTTATTAACTTTGAATCATTCAGTGGGAACTATATGCAAACCATATCGCAATACTTTATTTGAATTTTGCGATTTTTATCGATATTATGAATATATTTTTCAAATTTTGGGTAACCAGGATAGGCAAGCAACCAGACAGGGAGTTTGATAGATCGACTTAGCGAAGATGCTTCCTTCTGCCTGTTACATTCATTTGCTAAAAAACAGCATACCCTTTTGTTCACTTTGTATAAAACGTGATCACGCACAAAAACAAGCCTTGATTTTGATATGGCGCCTTCGAAAGTGAAATTTTAAGGCCATCCAAAAGAAAGCGATTCATTTGCCTCATTAAGTTGTAGGAGTTCAGATGAGTTTGTTCAATTTGTGCGTCTAGATATGATAAACCCGTTGATAACATTCTAATTATGCGCATGCAATTGAGTATAATGATGATGCTTTAATTTATGGCCATGTCTTAGCTAAGTAGTTGGTTGACTTTTAGCCTGTCAGCGCGCATGCGAATGTTGTTTTGCATGCAGCCTGAGTTTGTGTGGGCGAAGAAGTGCTGTCATCACATTTAATGGGATAATACTAAATAAAGTTGTTGCCTCATTTTTATAGACGGCATTAAAAAGATTACATCGCTTTTAAGCTGAGAAATATACGTAAGCCCGGATTTATTAGTTGCTTTATAGTGCCATTGCATTCCAGTTGAATGAACTCAACTCAATTTACGAGAGAAACCTAACACCTGGCTGAGATTTAGCATTTGTTAGTGTCCAAATGCTAATCAACTCAACTGTCCAAAATTGTGGGTGCAATATAATTAATCAAGAAATATATATATGGGTATATATATTGTACGCATTTGTATTTAATTTGTTTGCAAACCTAATAGTGAAACTGAATCTTTGATGGCTTATAGAAAGTTGTATGTTTCTCAAATTTGTGCATGCATGCGGGTGGTATAGACTAAGATATATTTTTTACTTTCAATATCTGAAAGCTTGGCAATTTGCAAAGCATTAAAAATTACCCACATTTCCGTTAAGGTGACTGAAAAGTAATAATACTTATATGAAAATATTGATTGGTGTATACCAATTGTTAGAAGTTATTATTTTATTGATTGGAGTATGCTTATGAAAGCTCATATAAATAATATAAAGAAAACATATTTAATATTTAAATCAATAATAATCTTACTTGTGCTTTTTTTGCGATCTGATCATCTTAAATAAAATATTTTTCGGTTGTAAAAAACAGAATAAAAAATGATAAATGCATATAAATCCAATGAACTCATGTTTATTTATCTGGCTATTCTCGTTTATGCCAAAGGCTCACTAGTTTGTTGTCTTAGTCTTTTGTTCTGCCAATGAAATTATATGGTTGTATCCCGTATACGTATCAATGTTATCCCATGGGTAATTAATATCTTATGGGAAGTTAATTAAATGTCGCTGCCTGGCTATAATATTGCAATATTTTTCATGCAAGAAGTGATGTCTGCAGCTCGAAAACGAGTTTCCAATACAACCCGAGAAACCAAAAAAGTGTTGTACACACATGCAACAGGCAGACAACAGCCAAAGCAAACAGCTGAAACAAGTGCAACAAAAACAACAACTGCAACTACAACATGAATGTCATAATTATTTTGGAGTCATTAAACTTTAAGAAGCAAAATCTCGACTACATATCAATAAGCTAGCCAGGCTTATACGCTGAACGGGTAACAAAAAATTATACAAAAAAAAAATGTAAAAATCCAAAAGTAAAAAATATGACCGCAACGATAAGGAAATTATGTATTAAACACATCAACGATTGGACGGGCTACATGATCAAGAAAAAGTCGAACGAACGACGGAAAAAAATTACCATTTAATGTTGGAAAAAACTTAACAAGTTGCCGGTGTCAGCAAAAACTGCAAAATCTGCCACACCAGCCGATTTTGGCGGCTGTTTAACTGAATTAAATATTGCGCAATCTCAAGTGTGTGTGTGTGTGTGTGTGTGTGTGTGTGTGTGTGTGTGTGTGTGTGTATGTGTGTGTGTGTATGTGTGTGTTTGAGCTGAAACTCGCCCGTGTTCATTGGCCATATAAATGGTAACAACTGTGGCGATCATTGAGACGCTTGTTGTTGTTGTCCAATTGGCGTCCACAAATGGCTTAAATGTGCTCATGACCGCAAGTAATAAAATAATTAAAAAAAATTGCTGCATAATTCACACTTCAGGCCGAACTGGTTCCATGGCTAACATGAAAGAGGTAACGTCTAAAGCCTGTGCAATCAGGCTAATTCTTTGGGTTAAGCGCACAAGGCGAGAAAAAGAGAGCGAGTGCGACTTTCTAGATAACAATTTATTGAGTGCTGCCACACAAGAGCGGAAGTTTGCGTCGTTTAGTTTCCATTAACATGGAATTGTATTGACTTGCAAATTTGAATAAATTTGTTCATCAGGCCAATCAATATGAAGAGAAAATCCGTCTGAGTGCTAACAATTGATACAGGGCTTACGGGCTTAAAAAGATATGTGAACATAATTGAGAAGCTCGTAATTGCCAAGTTTAGTCAAGCTCTTTTTTAGAGCCACTCTTTCTACAGACCTACATGATATATAAGACCGATGATCAATTATGAATATATATATACACAATATACAGATTATATTAGCAGAACTATTATAACTTGATATATTTTAGAAATTCTGATATTTATTTTTGAAACACATTTACCTTTTGCTGCAAGAGTAAGAAGATCTATTTCTTACAAATTATTATGTTTTAATTCTAAACTGAATTGGTTACATTTTCACACCCAAGTATGAAACTTTAGCTGACTTCAAGGCACAAAAGAGCGCAGACATTTACATATTTTGCATTAAAAAAACCAGACTATACTGTCTCATAATTTAAAACCCTCATTTGTCCTAGCCTATAAAAAAAACTGTGGTCACCCACTTTAAAGAGAACAAAAAGGAACGACAATCGAACAACTAACAAATTGTAATTGTACTTCATGTACCAACAACCCAACAACAATCACAGTAATCAAAGCCGCAACACCCAGCACTCAGCGTTGTCAATTTGAGGATTGGTCAAACGTGGCGTATACACAATTTGCACAACGTTCCGGCAATGGCCAAATGGCCAAACGGTAACTGCAACGCCAAGATTAGTAAACAATTATGGTTTTGAAATTGCTACAAGTTAATTCCACTTGTAATTGGTGGCAGCTCTGGCGACTGTCTAATTTAATTCGTGTGTTTTTTTAAGGGCGTTTACCAGAGCGAAAAAAAAAATATAAATAAAAATGTAAAAAAGCGCAATTGAAAATTACAGCACTCGTTTGGCAGTTGGTAATTTTCAACTGCAACTTAAATTGGCTGTCAAAGTTGCGATTGAATTGATTTGGTTTTGATTCGAATTAAATTGTATTGACACCTATTTAGGTTCCGTATTTGTCTCTATAATTACTGGTTCTATTTGAGCTTTTAGTTTTATGTTTCTTTTTTTGCTTGCGTGTACTCACTTGTCAATGTAGTCGATCGTTTCAATTTCCTTTTGCATTTTTTCCTCGCCCGGGCTGTGCTCGCTATTGGCAGCATCTGTTAAAGATAATATATAAAGAATTATTTAAGAACTTTGAATTTGAGTAAGTTCTTGGCTCAAAACAAATCACACAGCATTAATAACATTCACAATAAACTCATTACCATACCACAATTTATAACTTAAGTTATCTCTGGTTTTTGCTTACACCATAACATGATAAAATTGTAATAGTTACACGAATGCTTTTTGAAAATGGTAAACACACTTGCCACTTAGCCAAGACTTACATAAATTAGCCATATCGTTGCTTATAAATCATAATTAGTAGAGCAGCCCAGACAGACGCACACAAACACACACGCACACATCAATTGGAATTGCAAATCAGTTGGATATACAAACATTGAGACTTACGCACCCATCGAAGACAATAATAACAAAATTCTGCACGGCCACAATAATGTTTAACCTTACAAGCAAGGTATATAAAACGTTGTATATGGCTTGATTTATGACACAACATTCGATCGACCAACCAACGCAATTGTATCAACTTTTACATATACATATACTCACTTACGTATACACACGTATGCAGCTATCTGTATGTGATCACATTTAAATGGAGCAGTCAATATGCCGACAAATGTCAATCAGCGCAGATACTAAACGAACAAGGGCCACGAGAGACACTTCAATATTTATATATATATATATGTGGGGTTTTATATTAAAAGTTTATTATAAACAAGTGTATTGTTGATTTAACAAATTGTATTGCTTAGGATGATTATCATTCGAATCAAAGTAACACGTCGTTTCGTCGTTTTGTTCTCAGCCTTCATACCACACAGGTCCAGCGTTGAACTTTTCGTCTTAACGAGCAAACATCTTCTGCTCTACGTCCAGTACGTTGCCCTCGTGGCTTTGCACTGTCCTCGTTGATCGTCGTTTTTGGATAACTCGCCGTCTGCGAATTCGCCGTCTTCTTTGCTCGTTGTTACGCGTCGTGTATTCGTCGTTCGTCTTTTAGCGTGTTCGTTGTCTAGGGATTCTTGTGCTGTTGGTTGTGCACAGTGGGATTTGGGTATACAGCATTTACCCAACCCACATTCGGCCATTCTGACTAAGCGTTCGGCCCGAATGCTTCCTCGTCATCTTCGTCATCGCTGCCAATGGACCATGGCTTCATATATTCGGCACACGTTGCAGAATTCTTCGGCCCATCGCAATTACCTACTTTCTGGACATCATACGCGTTGTTATGCTTAATCTTAACGACTTGATAGGGCCCCAAAAACTTAGGCTTTAATTTTAGGCCTCTACCAAACTGTGTGCGTTTTATGGCAATAAGGTCGCCAACATTATAACGTCTTGCATGCTTTCGTCTCAAATTGTATGTATTTCTATTTTCATTTTGAATTTTTAAAATTTGTGTTTTTGCCTTTGCTCTTAATTCGGTTCGATCGTCATTAAATAAAGCTATTGTTTCTTTATTGATTATATCTCGAATCTTCCGATCTTCTTTTGTTTTCATTTTTACACCAACTAAAAGCTCAAAAGGTGTCGCATCAATACTTCTGGAAAATGTCGAATTAATTGCCTGCTGTACTTGGTTGATGTGTCTGTACCATTTTGTTGGGTCATCAATGCTCAATTTTGAGAGTACTGAAATAATTATAGCATTCAGCCTCTCGACTTGACCGTTCACTCTTGGTAGGCCTGTAGTTGTCTTAACTAGTTTTATGCCTTCGTCGTCACAGTATTTAACAAAATCTTGCGAAGTAAAGGCAGAGCCCCTATCCGTAATGATAAATGCTGGGTTACCAAATACAATACTTTGATTAGTTAACTTTGTAATGACCTCGTTTGCATTAGTAGACTTCGTTGGATACAGCCAACAAAACTTGGTAAATGAGTCAATAATCGCCAAAATGTGTTTGTAGTCTTTATGCGTTGACTCAAGTGGACCCAAGAAATCGATGTGGTAAGTGTGTAGGGGAACGTCTTCCTTCTGTAGTGGGTGTAGCAGCCCTTCTTGTTTGCCTCTTTTGCGATTTGTTAAAATGCAGGGAACGCAACAATCTATATACTTTTTTATCTTCTCTTCGAGGTTAGGAATAAAGTATTCTCGGCAAATTAACTCTTTGGTCTTTTTTGCTGCAAAATGGCCTTTGTCATGAGCATAGCCAATAATTCTTTTTTGCATGTCACTGGGTACTACTATTAACTCATCATCTTTTATAAGTTTGTATAGAATACCTGATTTTATGAAGTAGTCGTCGTATGCTTTATTTTTATCGGTTAAAACTTCCTTAATTGCTTTTATCTTTTCGTCTCGGGCTTGTGCATCTTTCATAGCAATACTGATACTATCTTCGTTGATTATCATTACTGGGTATCTGCTTAAAGCGTCGACGTGCTTCATTCTTGTGCCAGCTCTATGTTCTACTGTATAATCGTATTCTTGTAGGAACATAATCCAGCGTGCCACCCTGGTGCATAAACTTTGTTTCTCTAGAGTTTTTGCAAATGCATTACAGTCTGTTACAAGTTTAAAATGAATACCTAGAAGATACACTCTAAACTTCGTCAATGCTTCTATGACTGCCAAAATTTCTAACTCATAGCTGCTGTATTTACGTTGGGCATCTGTAGTCTTTTTTGACATAAAGTAAACTGGATGCAGTTGACAATCTTCGGGGCTTTTCTGCAATAAAACTGCTCCAAAGCCATCAATCGATGCGTCTGTGTGTACCTCTGTCTCACACGTTTGATTGTAAATACTTAACACAGGGTTTTCAGTAAGAAGCTTTTTCAATAAGTTAACCGAATTCTCTTCTGCTATTTCAATTCTAAATTTCGCTTTATTCTTGGTCATCTCCGTTAAAGGTCTAGCTATTGTAGCATAATTTGGTATAAATTTTCTAAAATAGCCTGTCAAGCCTAAGAAACTTTCTACCTGCTTTATTGTTTGTGGCATCTTAAACTTAGATACAGCTTCAATTTTTTCTGGTGATGGGAATATCTTTTTATTACAGATCACATGACCAAGAAATTGAATACGTTTCTTTAAAAAATTGCATTTTTTAATGTTAAGCTCCAACCCATACTCCTTGCATGTGCCAATAACTTCCTTTAAATGTTGCACCGCTTCTAGCTCGTTTTTGGCTGGTATGATAATATCATCTACATATGGCAAAGCAATTCCTCTGCGTGACAGGTGACGAAATATCGCGTTAACATGGCGTTGAAAAACACCTGGTGAGTTTGAAAATCCGAACGGCACTCTCAGAAATTGATATTGTCCTCGATGTGTTACAAACGAAGTATATTTTCTACTTGATTCTGCCACTGGTACGTGAAAAAATCCATTTTTTAGATCAATTGTACTAAAAATATTCGCTTCTTGTAATCGATCCAGCTGATCCTCGATTAGTGGTAAAGGAAAATGGTCTTTAACAATTACCTTGTTGATTCTTCTATAATCTATGCATAGCCGGGTTGAACCATTGCGCTTTTTAACAAGTACTATCGGGCTAGTAAACTCGGATGTAGATTCTTCAATTATGCCATTTTCAAGCCACTCATCAATTTGCTCATCGACAATACTCATTTCCGTAAACGCCAATCTGCGCGGCCGTGAAAATATTGGTGCCTCATCTTTTACTACAATGCGCATCTCTACATTTGTTGTCTTCGTCTTATTTGGTTCATAGTTCGAAATAAGTTCTCGAACTTCTTGTTTAGCATACTCACTTGCTGTGTCTTCTATGTCGTATACGCAGTCGAAGTCTTCAGGGCAAATTCTTAGTATATTTATCTCTTCACTGTTTGACATTTTGCGAACTTGTAAACCGTTACGACTAAATACAATCTCAGCCTGTAAACATAGTTCTTCGCCAAGAATAACTTTGACATCAATACATTTAATTGGAACCACGTAAAAATCAAGTATAAACTCTTCATCGTCAATAAGAATTAGATGTTTAAAATGTCCAGTTGGTTTTATTTTATTCTCACTGCGCTCACTGCCGAATCCAATAAGAAAAACATTGCAGATTTCTAGCTTCGGCTTGCCAATTTCACAATAAAAGTCTTCACGGATGATATTGAATTTGCTGCCAGTATCAAATAACGCTACACATTTCTTATTTGAGAAACATACTTCTTTACAGGATAAATCGTTTTTGGCTTGCAAACTGCGTGTATTTGATATTACGGCCTCACTTTTCTCAATTTGTTCACAATCTTTCGAGATGTGACCGTATTGATTGCATCTGAAACATTTTTTTCCTTTATTTTTATTTTGACAATAATTAGACGTATGCCCTTTTTCACCACAGTTAAAGCATTTCACATCTTTTTTTGCATCTTTGCTTACGTTGAAAGCTTTTTTGTCTCTTTCTTTAACACTGCAATCGTTACGCTTTGTTTTTTCCTTTTCGACTCGACACTCTTTTTCAATCATTGTTTTATAATATTTCAACTTTTCTTTGAATTGATTTAAATTTTTCGCACCGTATAATATGGATTTGTTTCCACCTCTCTCATCTATTCCGTCAATTAAATACTGTATGAAAGCGTCATCTGCAATTTTACCTCGAGAAGCAATGTCTTTCATTCTATAAAAGAATTCGAATACACACTCGTTGTTGCTGCGTTTCGTCTGCGCGAGCTGTTCGTGAATTTCTTTGCTGCTTACACTTGAACTGAATTCTGCCAAGAGTGCTCGTTTGAGAGAGTTCCAAGTGCTTAAACCTCTCTCACTCAATACGAAGAGTTTCGCTATTCCTTTAAGTGCCTTTTTTGCGAACAGAAACTTCTGGAAATCGTTCCAATACGTGAGTGTTGCCTGCTCTTCATATTCTTCTATCCACACTTCTACTGGAATAGTGTTTGTGCCGTCAAAACAACGAATGCTCTCTTCCACGTCGCGAAAGCTGATCGCAAAGCGAGGAGCAATTTCGTAATTTTCAGCAATTCTCCTAGTTTTCGAGTTTTCCCTATTTCGAAGGTCAGCGGTCTGGAATGAAGCGTTGTCTGCTTCCTC